TGATCCTGGTGCTTCCCTGTGTGCACCCCACAGTGCAGTATATTCCTTTTTCTTAGTAATAAATTATCTTTTCAGTGGCTGTTGTATCCTAATCTATTGGCCTTACTATATCTCAATTTTTCCATTAATACAGTATATTTTAAAACATCACTAATCATTAAGAAAATGCAAATCAAAGCCACAAGATAACACTTTATACCCATTAGAAAAGCTATTATAAAAATTAATTATAAACAGAAAGTAAGCTGATGAAGATGTATAGAAATTGAAACTGTTTTGCATGGCTGGTGGGAAGGTAAAATGGTATAGCCATTGTGATAAACAGCATAGTGTTTTCTCAGAAAAGTAATAGAATTACCACATGATCCAGCAATGCCACTTCTAGGTATATACCCAAAATAACTGAAAGCAGCATGATATGGTTAAGCTTTGTGTCCCCACCCAAATCTCATCTTGAATTGTAATCCCCAGGTATTGAGGGAGATACCTGGTGGCAAGTAACTGAATTATGGGGGAGGTTTCCCACATGCTGTTCTTGTGATAGTGAGTATTCTCAGGAGCTCTGATGGTTTTATAAATGATAGTTTTTCCTGTGCTTTTCTCTCTCCTGCTGCCATGTCCTTGCTTCCCCTTCACCTTCCGCCATGACTGTAAGTTTCCTGAGGCCTCCCTAGCCATATGGAACTGTGAGCCAAATAAACCTCTTTGTTTTACAAATTACCCAGTCTTGGGTATTTCTTTATAGCAGTATGAAAACAGATTAATACACAGGGACTCAAACAAATATTTTTACAATGTCCATAATAACATTAGTAATAATAACCAAAAGATGGAAATGACCCAAATGTTCACTGACAGATGGATAAACAAAATACGATGTATACATATAATGGAATATTATTCAGCCTTAAAACATAATGAAATTCCGACATATATTATTACAACATGTATAAACCTTGAGGACATTTGCTAAGTGAAATAAACTAGACACAAAATGACAAATATTTTATGATAACTCTTAAATGAGGTCCCTACAATTCATAGTGAAAGTAAGTAGACTAGTGTTTACAGAAGAGTTAGGGGCAGCAGGAATGGGGAGCTGTTCAATGGGTATGAAGTTTCAGTTTGGAATGATGAAAGGTTCTGGGGACAGATAGTGTTAATGGTCACACAAGAATGTGAATAGGCTTTTTACCACTAAATTGTACACTCAAAAATGATTAAAATTATAAGTTTTATGTTTTGTGTATTTTACCACAACGAGGAAAAATTTTTTAATCAATGAATGTAATTCACAATATTAACAGACTAAATAAAAATAGCCATTCGATCATATCAACAGGTACAAGACAGGTATTTGACACAATTCAACATATATTTGTTGTAAAATCTCTTAGCTAATTAATAGGAGAAACTTCTAACGTAGGGTATTTACAAAAACTCATAGCTAACATCACATTTAATGATGAGCTGAGTAAGGCAATTGCTTTGGTTTTAATGTTTGTTTTTCTCCATAATTAATATGAAAATTTAATTGCTATTGTAACAATTTTAAGAGAGATTGCTGTGTATTTTCAACTTCTAGGGGTGATTAGGCCACGAGGGTATCACCTTCATGGGCAGGACTGGTACTATTATAAAAAGGCAAGTTTGGCACTCTCCCGCCCTTTTCTCTCTTCTGCCATGTGAGGAAGAGCATTCTGTTCCTCACCCCACCCCATCCCCCAAAGATGTAGCATTCAAGATGCCATCTTGGAAGCAGGGTCCAGAACCTTATCAGACACCAAACATGCCAGGGCCTTATCCAGAACTTCTCAGGCTCCAGAAGCATGAAAAATAAACTTCTGTACTTGCTAAAAAAAGAAAGCCAGCCTGAGATATTCCATTATAGCAGCCCAAAACAGATTAAGATAGCAATGCTCTCTCAGTACTTCTGTTCAACATCATCCTACAAGTCTTGACCAGTAAAATAAAGGAACAGAAAGAAAGAAAAGTCATACAGTCTAAAAAGAAGAAACAAGTGGCCACTATTTGCAGACAAAATGATTATACATGTAGAACATTCCAAACAATGTGCCAAAAAATCCTTATTTAATTAATAAGCAAGTTTATTAAGCTTTGAGGATATAAGGTCAATATACAAAAGTCATCTTATTCCTATTTACCACCAGTGAACAACTGGTAAATAGGAATATAGCCAGCTCTCCCAAATCTCAGCAATCTTTTTGTAGCTGTCAACAGGCTGATTCTAAAATATCCATGGAAAGGCCAAGAAACTAGAATAGCCAAAACAATTCTTAAAAAGAAAAACAAAATTGGAGAATTTATGAGATTTCAAGGCTTTCTATAAAACTAGAGTAATTCAAACAGTATATCTGAAAAAGAATAGACATATCAGGCAACACAAAGAAGAAAGATTTTTTTTTAATGAATTGAAATTTTATTTTTATATAAAAACCTGTGTGTGAATCTTATGTTACAGGGTTATTAGTCAAAATTGTCAAAAATTGGAAACCACCAGCTGCCCTTCCACAGGTGAATAAATAAACACTACTAAGTTAGTGAGTGATACTTTAAGAGAAACATGATGTTTTATTGTCTCAAAATATCTCACTGCAGGCCAGTCATGGTGGCCTGTGCCTGTAGTCCCAGCACTTTGGGAGGCCAAGGTGGGTAGATCACCTGAGCCCAGGAGTTTGAGACCAGCCTGGGCAACATGGCACAAGAAAAGAAAAAAAAAAGGAAAGAAAAAAGGAAGAGAAAGAGAAGGAAGGGAAGGAGAAAAGGAAGGAAAGAAGAAAGGCCAAAACTTAGCTACCTGGGAGGCTGAGGTGGGAGGATCACTTGAGCCCAGGAAGTCCAAGCTGCAATGAGCCATCATCACACCACTGTACTCCAACCTCATACATAGTGAGACCCTGTCTCAAAAAAACACCTCACTGCAAACATTTATTAGTTGCTGCACCCACACACACAGCGCCAAACTTGGAAGTTGTGGAGAGCCGCTCTGCTGGCACCAGGCAAGGTCTCAGCCTTCCGAGAGAAGTGAAGGGTGAGCCTCTCCTTGGAAAGGAATGGAAGGGTTTATCTTTTTAAAACACTTTTCTTAAAAAATTAAGAAATTTATAATTTAAATTTGTTAAATTTAGATATTTTTTTAATTGCTTAGTGAATGAATCCTCGTGAAAATTATTGATTGTAATGTTAGTGCCATGGATATGTCCTTACTTTGTTGCAGTGCCTCTCATGGTTCTAATGAGGTTACTGAAGGTTCTCTTTCCACTGCTTTCAAAGTCAGTTGATACATACTACCTTCTTTTTCTTGCAGTTGCACTTTTACTGCACCCGGATAAATTTTTAAATATTTAATGATAGTATATATAGTAAATAATAGTAAATATAGAGACGTTGCTACACATTTTCGATTCTTTTCTGATCATTACCATAAGTTATTAAAATGAAAGTTGGAATAGTTCCTTTAGGAAAACAAACGTATAAATGTCAAAAAAAAGAAAAATATATACACTTAGAAAACCTAGAATGATTAGAATTTTTAAAAACAAATGTTAGTCTTTTCCTCCAGTATCTATTTGTTTTTCAGTGTCAACAGTAAAGTTTTATATCTTGATTCATATATAGTGCACTAGTTTACTTCTACCATTAATCCCTTTTTTCTTGCTAATCAAAACTTCTTACTGCCATATAAGATAACCTGTTAGAAAGTATCAACCATGTGTGTGCAAGTGTGTGTTACTAAAAAGAGTCATAAGATAACGGTGCTGCGAGCTTCCTAATTTGGTTCCTGATTTCAGAAGTATACCACATGAGGTTTAAGCAAGCTCATTTCTAGAAGATGCATAATTTGTGGATAATGGTTTTCTTACTCAAAATTGTGTATACTTCAGGTATTATGTAATACTGAACAGGTTACTTGCTTTTTCTTTTCCCCAGAGATAAACTCTGAGGATCACAAATATTATTCTTTTCACAAATATTATTCTTTTATGTTAATAATGGATTCCATTTTCTAGTATTTGTTACATTTTACCGCATTATTCACAGAGCTGTTTATATATTTTTGTGGCAGCTGTAAGTTGAAAGGCACACTTGTAACATGACAATCCAAAGTTTTCCCTTTATAAACTTTATACTACAAAATTTTCCAACACAGTCAATAAGCACAACCATGTTATAGAAGTAGATATTCTTAACATTTTGCCATACTTGCCATTTTTAATTATTTTTAAAAAGAACTGACAAATGGGCCAGGTGTGGTAACTCACGCCTGTAAACCCAGTACTTTGGGAGGCAGAGGCGGGCGGATCACTTGAGGCCTCAGGAGTTCCAGACCAGCCTGGACAACACGGTGAAACCCCGTCTCTACTAAAAATACAAAAATTAGCTGGGCATGGTGGCGCGCGCCTGTGGTCCCAGCTACTCGGGAGGCTGAGGCAGAACTGCTTGAACCCAGGAGGCGGAGGTTGCAATGAGCTGAGACCGCGCCACTGCACTCCAGCCTGGGACGACAGAGCGAGACTCAGTCTCATTGAAAAAAAAAAAAAAAACCCAAAAACTTACAAACATAAACGACCCTAAACACTTAAATATACATCTCTTTATGAATAAGCAAGATAACCCCTCAATGCGGCCACAGTTACTTTCCTTCATAATTCTAATTTCCAGTCCGTATACACATTTTTCCAATTGTTTTCAAACGTCTTCCACGGCTCCTGTTTTCTGCACCCACACGCTGCATTTGCTGTTATGTCATCAAGTCTAACCTACAACCTCTGGGGGCTCTGACAGAACCCGGGCTCTGGTTACCAGGACAGTCCATGTTATTACATCATGTTATCTTGATGGGGAAACAAAAAAAACACCGCGAGCGGGCGCCCGACCTATCAGAAACGCAGCCTTGCGAGTTACGGGTTACCGCGCAGCATGCTGGGAACGGATACGCGGCGGTTTCGTCTACGCATGCGCAGTCAGTCCTTCCCCGCCCCCCCGTGCCAGCTATCCCGTCGGTGTTTGCCAGTGCGGAGGGTTCGCAGCTCAGGTGAGAGCGTCGGGGCTCCGCGCGGTTTGCGGACCTGCGGGGAGGGATGGGCTGCAGGGGGTGCGAACGCCACGTCCCGGGAACTCCCCCAAAAGCAGGCCCTCCGCTCCCAGTGCCCGGCCTGGGCCCGGACCTCAGCCTGAGAAGGGCCGGCGGGGGCGGGCTCCGGGGGTGTAGGAGGGGCTGAGTCCTCGTGGGAGGATGCTCGGTGCGGCCGAGGTGTGGGTGCCAGAGTGCAGCCAGGCGTCAGGAAACGCGGTGCTGGCGGCAGTAGGGGAACGCGCGTTTATTGTGTTGGCCATGAACCTGCCACAAAGCGCGTACGGCCCGTGGGTCTGTGTTGAAAGCCCGAGCCTAAGAGCTAGAAGGACCTGGTGAATTTTGGCTCTGTCACTTGAGCGTTTGAAAATGAGGATATTAGTAAAAACTGCTTTGTGATGTGCAGAGATAAGGCATCACCTGTAAAGCATTTAGCTAAGTGCTAGCTACTAAGCAGCATGTAAAGGTAGATTCCCATCGTATTTGGAAGACACTTTGTTCTTTTCATGTAGCATTTCGTTTAATTCTCACAACCACCCTGTTTATAAGTGTATCTTTAAAAATGAAGAAGGAGAGGTGAAATGATAGCACCAAGCTCACAAACGATGAGGGAGCGAGGATGCCGATACAGATATGCTTTACTCCCCAAATCAGGCTGTTTGTAATGGCCTACCTACCTAACCCAGCATTACACCCTTCACAGCACTAGGTGAATGACTTGTCCCCAAAACCTCAGGACCATGATTGTGAAGTCAACGTGGACAGAATCTTACTATGTGGCAAGTGTATTTGTTGTGGGATTTCTGGGATGTCTCCAGAGCCTTTCGGTTAGACTGAAGCTCCTGCCACCTCTGTTGCCGAGGCTGCAGTGCAGTGGCATGATCTCCGCTCACTGCAACCTCTGCCACCCAGATTTAAGCAATTCTCCTGCCGCAGCCTCCTGAGTAACTCCTGAGCATGCACTGCCACACCTGGCTAATTTTTTGTATTTTTAGTAGAGATGGGGTTTTACCATGTTGACCAGGCTGGTCTTGAACTCTTGACCTCAGGTGATCCACCCGCCTTGGCCTCCCAAAGTGCTGGGATTACAGGCATAAGCCACCACACCAGACCTGCAGACATTTTTGATTGTCACAACAGGGTGAAGGGGTGTCCTAGTGTCTAGTGCATGTTTAGAAATGCTCCTGAACATCCTACAATGCATAGGACCACTCCTTATGTCAGAGAATTGTCCAGCCCAAAATGTCAGTCGTACTGAGGTGGAGAACACTGCTTTCCATGAAAGTTTCAACTAAAATGAATTTGTTACCCAGGCCTCAGCCCCAGCTTCTCTGGAGCAAAGCAGCTCTTTGTGTTGCAGGAAGGAGGAGGCCCGAGGAACAGGAGTCCAGCCAAAGAACTGCCCTCTGACAGAGACCTCCTCACCAGGGCTTCTGAACAGATGCAGAAGAACCCAGAAAGGAGCAGATCTTGATTTGCCACACCAGCAGCAGTTCTTCAAACCTTTGCCTAGAGAGCGCCAGACTTGGTGATGTCGCCGCATCCAGAAGCCATCACAGATTGTGTGACACTGAACGCTGTGGGCCAACTTGCCGAAGGTGGTGAGCTGGGGTGGAGAGGCATGGGTGACTGTCAGACTGCACAGGAAAAGCCACATTACTACTGGAGGGCTTTTCTGCGTGGTCTCCAAGGAAGGCATAACCAGCCAGGACTGTCTCTAATTCTGTCTCTAATTCTCCTCACAGAGCCCCCATTTTTTTCATTCTTGACTCACTCTTTCCAGATTCTGAATCACTGTCACACAACATCCGTCACATACATGTAGCATCTAGAGATTTACTAAGGTTGCCTCTATCCTGAACCTGTGGAATCACAAAATGATAATACAGGAAAGGCTTTCTGTTTCTGATTCTTTTAAAACCTTAAAAAAGTAGTGAAACTAGGATGAATGGTTTTGTCCGTGGTCACAAAGGACAGAGCTTGAAGCAAAGCACAGTGCTGTTCACTCTGTCACAGGTGAGTCCCCACAAGTATCTTACCAAAATTCTTTTTGAGAAACTGTAAGTTAGAACAAAAAGATTTTAAAATAGTCTGTTTTTCAGCATCTCATTTTTTTTTCAGTTTTGTGTTTTCTGTTGGTGTAAATATTAACAGAGAACGAATGTTAATCCTGTTTTAGTTTTTTGTTAATTATTCAAAAAAGACATACATTTTAAATAAATCAATATGAAAACAATCTACAGTCACCTGATGAAAAACAGCAAGCGGCTCACCCCTCCAATCCTAGCATTTTGGGAGGCCAAGGTAGGCAGACTGCATGAGGTCAGGAGTTTGAGACCAGCCTGGGCAACAGGGCGAAACCTCGTCTCTACAAAAAAATACAAAAATTACCCAGGCATGGTGGCAGGTGCCTGTGGTCCCAGCTACTCAGGAAGCTGAGGTGGGAAAATTGCTTGAACCTGGGAGGTGGAGGTTGCAGTGAGCTGAGATTGCGCCACTTCACTCCAGCCTGGGCAACAGAGCCAGATCCTGTCTCAAAAANAAAAAAAAAAAAAAAACAACCCAGCAAGGTTTCATCCACATGATCATGTTACAGATGCACATATTTAGGGGGTGTTTTCTCTCTAATGCTTCCTATCCCTTCTTAAGGGTCAAAGGAACATTTTTTGTAGAGAGGCCGTTTCCCCAGCTGGTGTGATGACATTGGTAGGCAGGTGAGACAGAGGCTGCCCAGATCTCATGACCCCTTCCTCACCCTCAGGTTGTCCTCTCCGCTTCTCCACACTCTTCGAGGAGCAGCAGAACATGAACATATCTCAGGTGAGTTATTTACTGACACCTTTTTCATCATGGATTTTATAGGTGTTTAAGGGTCCACATAATAATGTGGAAATGTAGAAATAGATTAAAATCATCCAAGGAATATATAGAAAAGCAGAGCAATAGCACAGCAGAATTGGCATGTGGAAAGGTGCAGGCCGCCTGATGTTACAGATTTTCCAAAATGGAACTGCCGTTTTCATTATTTCTGATAGCCATGGCAGAGAGTCAGACAGACAATATTTGTTTCCAGATTTGCATTGATGAGAAGCTTAAACTGGACTGATTCCTCATGGAATCTAGAGTTATCAAAGTCAGGGGAAATGTCTTTGTTGGTCTTCATGTAAGTGTCAGTGCAAATCTTTCTAATAACAGCCCTGAAATAAATGCAGTATGTTGCTTCTGCTTTTTCCTCAGTGGAATTAGAGGGCTTAGTGCCAAACTCAGGCTTTGATTAGTACAGTTTTTCAGGTAGTGGAAGCAGAGTTTCAGGTAGACAGATTGTCAAAGAAAGGACAGATTGGTGGTGTAGGCTCCACTGACCAGAGGTGGAGTGTTTAAAAGGATTTTGTCCTGAAAAATGGGTGAGGTTTTTGTTGTTGCAGTATAGGAGGTTACTGCATTTTGAGAGAGGGCTAAACAAGGCATGCAAGCTCCAGTAAGAATCTTTGCCCATTGCAGTTTGAACTTCGTCTTAGGGAATAATAAGAGAGGGGATGGAGATAAAGGTTTGAGCCAGACGAGGGGTATTAGTTTGCTAGGGCTGCCGTAATAAAGAACCACAGACTGGGTAGATTAAAGAGCAATTTATTTTCCCACCATTCTGAAACCCAGAAGTCTGAGATCAAGATGTCAACAGGGGCCAGGCATGGTGGCTCATGCCTGTAATCCCAACACTTTGGAAGGCCAAGGCGGGTGGATCACTTAAGGTCAGGAGTTCGAGACCAGCCTGGCCAACAGGGTGAAACCCCGTCTGTACTAAAAGAGAGACACTGCACCATGGACTGTAGTCCATGACCTGCACGTACACTCCAGATGAGTTCCTGGAACTAGAAAGTCTGAAGTAACTGGAAAACCACAAAAAGAAGAAGAAAGATCAACCCTTGCGGTGCCTAATTCCCATCTCAACTGATAAGGCAGTTGGACTTTATAACTGACCTTGGTCAACCTCATGACTCCAGACCCTGTGACCCCTCCCAACTTGCAAAAACTGCCCTGAACTGTAACTTCTGTAACTTTCCATTGCCTACCCCAAACCTACAAAACCAACTCCTGTCCCACTGCCCTCTACTGACTCTCTTTTTGGACTCAGCCCGCCTGTACCCGGATGAATAAACAACCATGTTGCTCGCACAAAAAAAAAAAAAAAACAAAACGGGCATACCCGGGCATCATGGTAGGCCCCAGTAATCCCAGCTGCTTGGGAGACTGAGGCAGGAGAATCGCTTGAACCTGGGAGGTGGAGATTTCAGTGAGCCGATATCACGCTACTGCACTCCAGCCTGGGTGACAGCGTGAGACTCTGTCTCATTAAAAAAAAAAAAAAAAAAAAAGAAAAAATAAGGTGTCAACAGATTTGGTTCTTTCTGAGAGTTGTGAGGGAAGGGCCTTATTCTGTGGTTTAGATGTCTGTCCTTACATCATTTTTCCTCTGTAGGAGTCTATGTTCAAATTTCTTTCTCCTGTAAGGAATTCAGAATTTGTTCAAATATAGAAAGATACAAAGAAATAATATATAAATATATATGTGGAAGGTTCCCACCTTCCCAGATTACCAACTATATATATTTTGTTAGATTTTTCTTTCTCTCGTATGCCTCTTCTTTCCTTTTTAAAACTTAGTTCTTTAACTGAGATACAGTTGTAATACTAGTAAAGTGCACTCTTAAGTGTGTAACTGGATGGATTTTTACATGTGTATATTCATGCAATTTAGCACCCAGATTAAGATAGCACCACTGTATAAGGATGCTATAAGGACATAAGGACAACCACTATTCTGACCTCACATGTTAAGAAAAAAGATAAATTCATTTTTTAATACCGTACCAGTGAAATCATACAAAGTGTACCCTTTTTCAGTTTTCAAGGGAGTGGGAGGTCTGGCTTTACATAACATTTTTTAGATTCATCAGTTTTGCTGTATACCTTAATATTTCCGTTACCGCTGGGCTGTATTTCATTATTTGAATAGACCATAATTTATTTCCACATTCTCCTCTTAGTGCATTTTTTTTCATTTGTTTTTCCTGTTTCAGACTATCAGGAGTAAGGCTGCTGTGAATATTCTTTTGTGTCTTTTGGTATGTCCTCATTGCTTTTGGGATTTACCTAGAAATGGAATTGCCGCTTCATAGAAGAAACATATGTTCAGCTTTAATACATACTATGAGTAGCTTGCCTAAATGGTTGAATCAGTGTACATTCCCACTAGCATTCTAGCTGTACCAGGTTCTGACCAACACGTGTTACTGTCAATCTTTTTGTTTTTAGCTATTCTGGTGGCTACATAGTGTGGTATCTCATCAGAATTTATAACTTGCTTTTCTATGATAAATACTAATGTTGGGCACCATTGTTTGTGTTTTGGCCAATTTGACATCCTTTCCTTTTATGTATTATGTAAAGTACCTATTCAACTGTTTTAATTGGGTTATTTGCTTTTAAGTAGAAATTATTTCAATATTATCAGAACATGTTTTTTTTGCCATGCATGCATTACTAATGTTCTTGGATTCTGTGGCTTGCCTATTCATTTTTTAAACAATATCTTTGATAACAAAGTTTTTACCTTTAATAAAGGTCAGAATTGTCTTTTCTTTAATGGCAGTTCTATTTGAAAGCTCTTTCCCTACTCAAAGATCATACAGATATTCTCCTTTATTGTTACTACATCCTTGTTTATTTTAGCTTGATGCACATAGAGTAAGATTTTGTGTTTGGTATAAGGTGAGTGTCACGGTTCATATTTCCATATGGATATCCAGTTGCTGAAGCACCATTTGTCAGGAAGACCGTCCTCTGTCAACTGAACTGCAGTTGTGTCTTTTGTCAGTCAAGTGACCTGTATGCAGGTCTAATGTAGGCCGTGTTTTCTTGCTTTGGTCCAGTTATTTGATCTTTTTGCAAGTACTTCATTGTCATCATTACTGTTCCTTTATAGTAAGTCAGGAATTCATAGTGAATTTATTTACTGTTTTAGGTCCTTTTTATGTTCATGGAAATTTTATCAGTTTTCATAGAAAATCCTGATGGAGAGTTTTTCAGAGTAGAGGTGAAGTCTTTCACATCTTTTATTAGATTTATTCTTAGGTATTTGATGTATTTTGATAATAGCACAAATAACTACTTTTTAAATGTCATTTTCCACTTTGTTAGTTTATTAAAATACAATGAATTTTTTAGTATTCATCTATACCTAGGCATTTTACAAAGTTTATTCATTCTAATAGCTTATCTGTGGATTTTTTTGGATTTTAAATGTGCAAAATTTTTTTTGCAGTAAAGACAGCTAATATTTTTGTATCTACGTTAATGGAGAGATACTGGCTTGCAGTTTTGCCGTCATGTAACATCAGGTTTTGGCATCAACATTATATTCTCAAAAAATTAGTTTGGAAACAGGTATTCACTTTCTGTTCTCTGAATGAGTTTAAGATTGCTGTTATTTATTCCTTAAATGTTTGGAAAAATATACCTGTGAGGTAGTATAGCCTTGGAGTTTTTCTTTTTTTTTTTTTTTTTTTTTTTTTTTTTTNCAGGCTGGAGTGCAATGGCGCAATCTCGGCTCACCACAACCTCCGCCTCCTGGGTTCAGGCAATTCTCCTGCCTCAGCCTCCTGAGTAGCTGGGACTACAGGCACGTGCCACCATGCCCAGCTGATTTTTTGTAGTTTTAATAGAGACGGGGTTTCACCATGTTGACCAGGATGGTCTTGATCTCTTGATGTCGTGATCCACCCGCCTCTGCCTCCCAAAGTGCTGGGATTACAGGCTTGAGCCACTGCGCCCGGCCAGCCTTGGAGTTTTTCTTGTGCCTGGTTTTTACTCATGAATTCAGTTTCTTTAATAGGATATAGAAAATCCAAATTATCCTATTTATTCTAGTGTCCTTTTTTTTTGGTAACAGCTTTATGAAGATACAATTCATATATCATATAATTCACACTTTTAAAGTATACAGTTTTGTGGTTTTTGGTATAAAATTGATTGCCACAATCAATTTTAGAGTGTTTTCATCACTTCAAAAAGAAATTCCATATCATTTAGCTATCATCCCCTATCCTGACATACACGATCTCAGCCCTAAACAACAACTAATTTGTGTTCTGTTTCTATACATTTGGCTATTCTGGACATTTCTAATAGGTGAAGTCATATAATATGTGATCTTTGTGACTATTTCTTTCTCTTTTTTTTTTGAGACTGAATGCACCCAGGCTAGAGTGCAGTGGCACAGACTGGGCTCACTGCAACCTCTGCCCTCACAGGTTCAAGCAGTTCTCCTGCCTCAGCCTCCCGAGTAGCTGGGAGTACTATTACTCACCACCACACCTGGCTAATTTTTTAGTAGAGACGGGGTGTCACCATGTTGGCCAGGCTCCTGACCTCAGGTGATCCGCCCATCTCGGCCTCCCAAAGTGCTGGGATTACAGGTATGAGCTACCATGCCTGGCTATTGTGAGGCAATTTTAAAATTGGTATGAGGTAAAAGTCCAACGTCATTCTTTTGATGAGATTCAGTTATCCCATTTATTAGGAATAATTACATTGACCATTTATTAGGAACAAAAAGTTTGTTGAAAACTTTTTTTTTCCAATAAATGGTCAATGTATGGGTTTATTTCTGGGCTCTCAGTGCTATTCTGTGGATCAGTATGTCTGTATGTATGCCAGTATCACACTGTCTTGATTACTGTTGCTTTATAATAAGTTTTAAAATCAGGAAATGTAATCCCTCCAATTTTTTTCTTTTTCTTCTGGATTGTTTTGACTATTCA